CCAAGTAGCTTTTTTTTTACCAGACATAATAGAAGCACACAGTATAGTCAGTCAATATTTTCTTTGCTGTTGTCCCTTGAATGCTGTTGTCCCATGAATGCAAGTATTATTGACTCCTAAATGGAAAAAGGAGTATATTTGAAAAGAACATGGAGACTAACTTACTTCATATTGTCTCATTATTTTTGATGCCATTATTATGAGACATCTTTAAAACGTCTACAGAACTTTTAGCGGAATCCTTATGGTTGTTACAATAACATTATGTACCTAACATCTCCACTATCATCCATTCCCGCTTTCATTATTTTTGGCAAATATCAAGTGTACAGCTCTGTAATAATTAAAATCAGATACTTATCCCCACTTAAGCTCAGCATATCCATCCTAAAACATCACAGAAAACTAGTGTTAAATCACTTCTATGATGCACCGTGCTGGCAATATCAACGTTCCAAGAATTTGACTGATTAAGAGGACAGATTCATTGGTCTCACAGCAGACAGAAATATTTTCTTTTTTTAGCTGAAGCACCTCTTGAAATTTCCAGGGAAAATTATGCTTAATGCTTTTTACATTTGATTTCCTCCTTTACTTCTTTATGCAAATTATAATGAATTTGATTGCGTTTATCTTCTGCAACTTCAGCTGGTACATAACTTAAATTGTAATTTGCATCTTGCAAAGAGATCACATGACTCATCTTCTAGTAACATGAAGACTTAGTAGTTTACCTTCTTTCATCGGTGCATACTTTTTTCCATTGGTATTTTATACTCATAAGATGGAAAATCAATGGCAGCTAAAACGCATTATCCAGTCATAACATACACTAACTTCAATTTTACTAAATGTAAAAGGGGGGAACTGCAAAAAAGCATTTTCATGCATTTACAAACATAGCTGTCAACATTAGCACAGAAAATCACGTAAAGCAAAGTCCACCATGACCATGATGATATACATTATGCATATCTATCTATATATCTATATACACTATATACACTATATATATATATATATATAT